ACTGCTGCTGTGCACTCAGCTAAGGGGTTTATCCCCAAACACTAACACAGGGTGAAAACAGACCAATCATAAGTTAACATCAATAGTGTAGAGCAGAGGTCTCCAAACTTGGCAACTTTAAGACTTGTGGACTTCAACTCCCAGAATTCCTCAGACAGCATAGCTGGCTAGAGAATTCTGGGAGTTGAAATCCACAAATCTTAAAGTTGCCAAGTTTGGAGACCTCTGGTGTAGAGGTTCAGTCCTACCTTTTGACCTCCAGGATTGGGGTCAGTCTAAAACTCTGGTCAGTAATTGGTCAACTCTGATCTTCTTTCAAATTGATACACAAGTCTAGTGTTCAGACTTCCTTTTCTAGGCTAGATTGTTGGGAGAAGAAGAACCATATTCATATATTGATTTTGAACATTTCTGTCAGAAACAAATGAAAACCTTTCTAATATTTTGAAACTCAGTTTTATAATTTGTTTTGCAATAAAATTCCTATGTGACATGTAAGTCTATTTAGGGGGTAAAAACTGCGCACAGCTTTTCCCAAATGTTGGCATAGTTTTCAGGTCATCTTGCAGTAACTCTGACTATTGTACGTTCACAGGTGGGCTTGTGACATGATGACCTGGTTATATGGCAAGCAGGCAGGAAGGCTTGTTAAATTTGTTTAGGAAGTTGGTGAGGTCACTAGTGAGTTATGCATGGGTGGGGAATGATTGGATTCTCTTGTGCTTGTGAGAGATTCAGACCCACCCAAAAGTTATTGCAGCTTTGTACTTTCCCACATATTAGTTAATCTGCTTTAGTGAGAGTGCTCTGTGCGACACAATGCAGAGGAATTCCACTTTGACTTATTCCAAGGACAACAATGATTTAGAGACAATACAGAGCTGCATTCTTTGCCTCTATACAAAGTTGAGATAAACATAATCTTATTCAGCCAGTGTGTGAAGCTTCAAGGTTTTTTTATTGATTTGTTTCTTTACAAAATGATAAACCAGCCCTGTGTTCATAATGTTAATTTCTAATTAATACTGTTTTGAATAGAAAATGTTTCCATTAAAAATGTACATTATTTTAACAGTCACATACATTTTGGATTACTGAAGGTTATTGGTCTTGTTGACTCACACTCCCTAAAATATTTTCTGACCTTTAGCTGAAAGCTGATGACTGAACATTTAAGTCACAACAAGGTCTTAGGCATTCCAGAAAAAAGTCTATAAATATTAAGAGGGTTCCCCCCCCCTCTCTAAATGAACGGTTTAGGATTGCTGCTTGTTCCCTGTTTGCAGAGTTTAACTCTTTTTATTCATATGCTAGTCTCGGCTTTCTGGATCTCTTTAGGCATCAACCATTTTAGCATTGTTATAAAATCTATTTGATAACCCAAGAAATTTTTCAAGGCTGGATATAAATGAAGGAAGGATTTTTCCTCTCTCTTTTGTGAAGCTATAGGTATGCTGTTCTGCTTTTGAAGAATGAATTCTTCACTACTTGTTGCTTTCTAGTGGTTTATTTGTTGAACCAGGGTCTTTCAGTGAAGGCACAGATTGCGTGTGATGTTAGGTGTGGTCACCAATGGTTAAGCAGAAGTTCTGGTACAACATTTTCAGTTGCATCATGTCATTTTGGGTAGAAAAGGTTGGCAAGCAGCAGGAGAGGTGCCCTTTCTCATTGTCACAATATAGTGAAATAAAAGCTATTGTGCACATGGCTTATAATTTCAACCTCCATCTTCATGTCATTCTTTTTCACATTTATTCTGAGATAATTTATGAGACACTCCAGAAGCAATATTGAAACTTTTGAGATACTGTAGATCAGGGGTGTCAAATTCACGAGGACATGTTGTCGTCACGTGACGTATCACAACTTTTTCCCCCTCTGCCAAAATGGGGGTGGGGGTAGCCAGCATGTGATGTTTGACACCCATGCTGTAGATAGATGACAGATGGATGGGTGAACAGACAGATAGAGTATGTATACACAGACGCACACACACACATCCATATACGTATATGATGTTGGCCAATTCATGATATGGTAGATAGTTTTAAATTTAGAATACCCTGAGAAGAGGTGGTATTCAACAGGTTCTGACCAGTTCTGGAGAACTGGTAGAGGAAATTCTGAGTAGTTTGGAGAACTGACAAATACAACCTCTGAGTGGCCCTGCCCCCAGCTATTCTCTGCCTCCCAAGTCCCAGCTGATCGGCTTCTTTTGTTGCCCTGCACAGGAGAACGGAGCTGGAAAGCTGGTTGGTGGGGTGGGGAGGGAATGGGATTTTGCAGTATCCTTCCTCTGCCACACCCACCAAGCCATGTCCAAAGAACCAGTAGTAAAGAAATTTGAATCCCACCCTGACCCTGAGGCAACATTGGATCTATTCATCTAGATAAATCACAGTTCTAGTCTAGAATAATTCACATTGTTTTTGGTGTGGAATGGTGGTTAAGGATGAAAATAGAAATGGATTCTTTTGAGAGGCTACTTACTCCAATTTATATCTTATTTGGAATGGAAAAAGATCCTAAAGGTGCTACTGAAAAACGTCTGTTTCATTGATGAATTTCAGCTGTGTGATGTTGGGGTACTGTGGGTGCAAATGGGTTGCTCAGGGACAACATAAAGCCCCCAGGACACAAGTTACAAACCCTTGGGCTGAACAAAACTCAATGTACATATAGTCTTTTTTCCTCCTTGGAATTTTATGTCATTTTTAGTTTGTATACTTTGAACAAATTTAAAAAAGATAACGGGAAAAATTTCAATTCAAGTAGCATTTTTATGTGTGAAAATGTAGTTCAAGATAAATCACAAACACAAGAGCAGAATCAACACAAGAGAGAATAGGTTATATAGTATATCAATATCTTTGGATTATGAAGATAATTTGTCTTTAGACTAATAGGTCAAGCCTATTTCTTGCTTTGCATACTTGCCTTCTTTCAGTTGATTCTGACAATTGGTTTTAATTATACAGTGTGTGAGGAAAGCATATATGTTTACTATTATAATTGCCACATCTACTGTACTACAAATGGATAAGGGAAAAATCTTCAGCTTGCTAAAAGCACTATATAATATAATAACATTTTCCCTTATAGCTATTTTGGCAGCTGGAAATAGTTTAATTTTGATAAGTTTGACGTAAAGAATGGAATGTGTCCTTTTTAGAGGCCAGAAATATATAGGATAAAGTTTAAAGGAAAATGGAACTATGAAACTATGAAACAACTGAAAAGTTGTTGGTTGCTTTTCCTCCAATCAATGGTAGCTATGTATTGTTCCATTAAACTGCATTGCAAGAAAATATTACATTAATAAATAATAGTAGAAAAAATACAGCTTCTGTATTTCACTATATCTAAAGAATGACAGGAATCTCCAAGGGGGTTAATATATTTTTCTAGAATCACTGTTAGATTTTTTTTTTAAGTGCATGGGCAAAACTTTATAAAATTATTTGCCAGTTCTTTCAAATTTATCAAATGTTGGCTTCTTAAATTGTCTAGAACTTAGCTGTATCAGGAAAAGTAACAGAAAAGGTATTCAGAATATAATTCATGATCTGGATGACTTCTAAATCAGTAGAGATATAAATCACTTCAGGCTTTCGTAGCTCAGTATATTTTTAAGCATCTTTATACTCATTGTATGGATCTCTTGAAAGAATGATAGGAACCTGAGAAGGAAATTGGGAGATACTTTTTAAAAATTGAATCTGAGATATAGTTTTTGTTGCAAAGTTTCATTCACAGATTACAATAGAAAACAGAAAACTTGAAGAATATAAATGATAACAAAAGAAAAGGAATGCACTATCTTCATTCAATAGCTTTCATTTTAAGAGTATTTCTATGTAAAATACTTTTACATTTTTGGAAAAAGAAATTCAGGACAAGTAGGACACCTGTCTGTTACAATCTTCTTTTGTTTTTCTTTATTCTCTGAGATAACATTTCCCTTCCAATACTTCTCATATAATGCAGAATGAGAAATTACGAATTCATTTCAGTCAAATGATATTGATTTCAGTGAGATCATTAAGGATGAGTAAATTACAGGACAAGTATATTGGAGACAGAACATGATGTAATCAATACATTTTAAGGATGGATCGAGTTGTCTCTTTAAATCCCAGCCAGCTACTATTAACCAATTAAGATTAATGAGACGACAAAGGGAAGGGGCAAATTGGATGGGAATACTATTTGCTTTCATATTAAAGTTTTTCATTTTAGGTAGTCTCTGGTGGAAAGAGTGGCTGAATCATTACAAGCTTTCATAAAACTCTGCGGTCTTTCTGCTTTCTTCTGATCATATCTTACTCTTTGTTCTCCTTTCTCTGCCTGCCAGGAAAACTGTCAGCTTACTCTCTTTATCTAATCCATTGCTAGGAATGTTTGGCACGCCTTGAGCAGATGGGAACACTTCCTTCCCCTTGA